CATTATGCTAATATTTCCACATGGTGAGGTAGATATGTGGGGGCGTGTTAGAACGAGCCGTTTTAGGGGGGCGTGGCAGAGTCTTAACTTTGATAAAGAATATCTCTTTGGTTTTGAGACTTTAGTCTTTGCAGCTTCAGGGATCTTATCTATGCACAATCAGCTTGTAACACTCCAAAGAGAAAGGAAAACTTGAAAATCGCATCATATGACCCCTTTAAAGGAAGAGCAATTTGTTCAGTAAACCATTGTTTAATTTGAAAAAAGAAGCAATTTATGTTTAGTTTTTTTCCCTCCTGCTGTACCGAAATCATACGGAAACGTGACGTCAAAACCGAGGTACGTACCGAACCATCATGTTTGTATACCGTTACACCCCAGTATATATACATACAGAACAAAACAGACGACAGAAGCAGTGTGACTGACTAAAATGTTGGTGACATTCCTTTTTATGTCAACAAACATGCATTTAATCACAAATATTGTTAAAAAAAATATTAAGTAATTATTATGATAGAAATAGATTAGAAATGAGGCTCACCTTCCAAGTTTTGATGATGTACCCATGATGCAGTGGGCTTCATCTGGCATTGTTTCACGCTCTGTATTTTTTCATCTTTGTCAGTGTCCACAAGTTTTTCCTCAGCAATGCGGTCATCATCGACATCCTCTTCAAGGTCCTGATACATCTCTTCCTCCTCATCCTGCAAAGAGACTTTTTTAGAAGCAGCAATAAACAAAACCAGAATTCATCCCTGTCTAAAGTTAACAGAACACGTCCCGGTCTAAAGTTAACAGAACTCGTCCCGGTCTAAAGTTAACAAAATAAACATCAACACAGAAAAGAGACCATTAGTTATTTTTAGGGCTGGTAATTTAATGCTTTAGATTAATTCACTACGGTGAAAAATAACGCATTAAAATTATTTAACACACTTGCTAGCACCCAGACCTATGTGGGTCATCTGACATTTCATACAGCTGAATGATGCAGTGGGCTTCATCTGGCATTGTTTCACGCTCTGTATTTTTTCATCTTTGTCAGTGTCCACAAGTTTTTCCTCAGCAATGCGGTCATCATCGACATCCTCTTCAAGGTCCTGATACATCTCTTCCTCCTCATCCTGCAAAGAGACTTTTTTTAGAAGCAGCAATAAACAAAACCAGAATTCATCCCTGTCTAAAGTTAACAGAACTCGTCCCGGTCTAAAGTTAACAAAATAAACATCAACACAGAAAAGAGACCATTAGTTATTTTTAGGGCTGGTAATTTAATGCTTTAGATTAATTCACTACGGTGAAAAATAACGCATTAAAATTATTTAACACACTTGCCCCGCCCCAGACCTATGTGGGTCATCTGACATTTCATACAGCTGATTGAGGACAAATACGAGGCAGGGCAACAACTCACTGCGTGATGGAGCCTAGAGAACGTAGTTAGAATGTCCCTAAAAGTCAAGATATGGGGAAAAATGTCCCTGTTTGAGTTTCTGACATAGTTAAGCAATATCACACGAGCAATAGGCTAAGTGCAATATCACACGACTGCAGTGTTGCCAACTGCTTTCAATTGAAAGTAGGGTTGGGCGATATGGCCAAAAAAATTATCACGATAATTTTTTTCATATCAGTCAATATTGATAATTATCACTATAAATGTCAAATCTTTACTTCTTTCAAGTTTAAAGCGAGATTTCTGCTCCACAGTGAATGTTGTAGAAACCAGACCATTAATTTTCCTTAAAATAAATATCTAAATAGAAAAATGTATTTCTTACTTTCTGCATGTTCTAATGAGTAATATTGTTTCAAATCAAGAAACAGGTTTGTGTTGCCTGATAATATTAATAATAATATCACTTTTTTGTCTCTTAGATATGCACATTTGATAGTGGCTTGAGTTAGGATGTAGAGGTACATTTTTGTTCATTATCAAAATCAGTATCATCTGTAAAAATTGTAGCAACCTCAGTTTTATATGGTTAAATTTATTCGGACCGTTTTATTTTTTTGTTTTAATTAAGCATTGGTATTCCATAGTAGCATACATTTAAATCTTGATAAACACAGTTAAAACCACACATATAGCACCTCAATACCATGGTAAAAATATAACTATATGGTTTTTAGGTAGCCTTTATGAAAATCAGTAGTATAAAAACATTCAGTATAAATGCACACATGGTATAGCTTAATCACAAATACATACTATTATAATATACCATTACTCCTGTAATAAAATGCAATGTGAATATCCCACATTTCTGCCACAATACCATGGTGCAGTGAGTGTTACTACAGTAAATCCATGGTAAATGATGGCGATGTGTAGATTGAAAAGTCTTCTGACTGTCTCGTTCGTTGCACACAGTGTTTCTCCTGTTTGGCATTTGTGTTCCTCGCCGAGTTCAAGCGCTTCACACTGGATCTCACAGCGCTGCTTAGTGCTCACGTGACTCTAGTGACCTCGCGCGGCCATTTTGAACATTGGTCCGTGTGGCGCGATTCAAATGAGTCACACTGTTTTGTTCCGCTTTTGGCACATAAACGTTATATCGAACATTTATCGAACTGTTCATACCATTTTAGCGAGAAATTATATCGCGATAATTATCGTTATCGAATTATCGCCCAGCCATAATTGAAAGTAGCTAAAACTGGTAGCTAAATGTCACTAGATGACATCACAATGGCAAATTCACTGATCTATATAAAGATGAATGTAGATCAGTGGGCAAGATGAGAACTTAGATGAGGTTTGTCCAAGAAGTTGTTATATTTGTCCCTAAACTTTTGAAAAAAAGTCTCAAAAGGGGCGGGGAAGTCGCTAAATCTAGCTACAAAGTAGCTAAATTGGCAACACTGCACACGAGTGCAAATGTGATACTGATCTTATACAACAGTTCAGTAAGTAAGAAGTTAATATGGTGTTATTTTAGACTCAATGTTGTCTGTTTTGCTCAATTTTGCCAACGAAAATATAAAGACAAAGTAGAACTGTTCGTCTCCGAGCAACACACAGCGGCATTTCATTTCTTAATGCATGTTTTGAACGAATTGGGTGAACCATATTGGATTTGAAGCGGCGCTACACAGATTGATCAGTGTATGGCATCAAAGGGCACCGCGAGAGCGATTCAAAAGCATAAGGAGCCGTCTGCTCTCTATTATCTCTCGCGGTACTTTAATGTCACACACAGATCGGTCTGATGGTGATGATCCGCTTCATGTGGAACAAGCCTAATGATTCAAAGGACCATTCATAAAAAAACATTTACTTCACTCCTGAATGAATCAGCCTTTTGAACTAATCGAATGAATGACAATCATTAAAGGTGACATATCATGAAAATCTGACTTTTCCAGGTTTTAAGTACTATAATCAGGTCCCTGGTGCATCTACCAACCAAGGAAACGTGAAAAAGATTAACCCAGTAACTTTGTTTTGGGAAGCCTTTTTCTGCAAGCATCTGAGAAAACGAGTGCGTCTGATTTGCTACCTTGTTGACGTGGCAAAGAGATCTCATTATAATATTACCGGCCCTTAATCTGTGAGTTTCCACCCACGGCGCCATCATTGTGTTTTCGCAAGCGACAACTGTGTACCAGCTCCAATGCCATGCCGAAAGTTTGAGCAAAACATGCTAACTGTTCTGTCTTTGGCTGCACAGACCAGAACACTGTGTCCCAGCCTCAGAGGAGACAACAGAGCAGTGATTTATTGATTTATTTACTGTATATTACGCTGCTGCCACACAGATCTAAATTAAACAAGCAATTTATTTCCCAACTGTTTACCTTCACAGATATAACCGACTGTTTTTTGTAACTCATGTGTGTTTTTAACGTAAACTTGTGTGTGAATGAGAACTTAGTTTAGTACTCACGTGCTATGACAGCCGCTTTCTGTACATGTGCTTCAGATGTGTGCGCTCAGAAAACGTATATCAGAAGTTTAAACTAATATGGTTTAAAACGCATGATTTCAGCGCGATAAACATGATAACCAGAAACAAACCAGATGTTTTTTAACAGGTCCGAGCTGTAAAGGTGCAGCTATATTCTGGAAAAGGGGGCGGGAAGCAGCAGCTAATTTGCATTTAAAGAGACAGGCCCGAAAAACAGCATGTTTCTGCTTCCACTCAAAATAGGCATTTTCAAAATGATATAATAAATTATCTGTGGAGTATTTTGAGCTGAAACTTCACAGACACATTCTGGGGACACCAGAGACTTATATTACATATTGTAAAAAGGGGCATAATATGTCTCCTTTAAGACATTTACCACCACCTACTGGCAGTTTTAGTTTATTATTTAGAGTATCATTTAATTAAAGAAATAATTTCATATTTCCATAGTAATAATAATAAAAGTGATTAAAGATATAGTTCACCCACCCAAAAATGACAATTGTGTCATCATTTACTCACTCTCATGGTCCAAAAGAGTATATGTAATAAATTTTATCAAACAAAATATTTGTTGCTGAAGCTACTTTTTGTAATGTCTGTTTGATGCTTTACAAAAAAAAGACTTTAAATGATCTTTTGGGAGTAATTTCTCAGCCAAATTTGATGTAATTAATGTAATTAATTAGATTAACAATTTTAATCGCTTACCAGCCCTAGTTATTTTAATAGATGTCAATGCAGGGGAGGCTTCAGAATAAACTGCTTTTGTGAGGAAACAGCTTATTGCTTAAACTGGTACTCTATCCGCTAATCTTCATTGTGCTTCAATGCGTTTCCACAGTTAAGCGTTTACAACAAAAAAATACTGTTTTATTAGAGAAGTCAAAGACAATTGTGACGGGACATATTCTGCTTTACAAAAAAATGCTGTAATGAATACTCATAAATTTTTATTACATCCACAAACTGTGAGTGACTGTAGTACAATTCCAAAAGCAATTAAATGACTGTCACACTTTCTCCAACGGTATCTCCTCATATATACAAAAAAAAAATCTCTGACTAAACACAATATGCAGATTGTGAGGATGTAGACTTACCCCCTCTTCCTGTAGCAGTAACTTGAGGCCTGGCTTGTCCTTCATCACAACTTCAAATTCAAGCTCTTTAACTGTTAGATGCCCAAATCCCTGATTACTGCGTATGTGTTTCTTTGTTCTTCTTTATTAATCTTTACCTATATGAATCGGTTTTAATTTATTATATTTATATAAATTCATTAGCTTTTCTAATTAATTTTGTATAAACAAAATAAAGATTTTAAGTAGTTAGACAATTAAAAGGAGTGTTCAATAGCCATTTACTAGTTACTAGTATTTTACTGGGATTACAGACTACTGAAGTGTTGGTAAATTGACACTTTTAAATTGTAAAGTACATAAAATAAAACTGTGCACCTACTAACAAAAAGTTCATTCAGTTAAATGTTTTTGTCATTTATCAGAAAAATAAAGAGTGTTGGTTCACCTGTAGAGTGCTACATAATAGCGATCCGAAATGGTCTGTTGGGAGTCCATGACCTGAAAGAGCAGCATAAGGGCTTGGACAGCAGTGTTGAATTTGACAATGTGCACCACTTTAAAAAGCGTGTCCAGCTGCTTGCACACATCGTCATCCCCAATCTTCGCGTACGGATACGCTCTGTTCACTCCTGTAAGCAGAGCGCTGAGCATTTTAGACTCAATATCCTTCTTCTTAACGCATGCATTGAAAAACGTGATGTAGATGGTGATAAGCTTGGCAGCCAAGTCTGCTTCCTCGTGGCTCAGAATCACTTGGTTTAGGAAACATGCGGCATAGTATTGAGCCTTGGAACTGATGTTGGGTCTGAACATGAGGCGCTCAACCTCAAAGCACACCACTGTCTTCATGTTGGGGTGTTTGTGAAGCACCGTTTCCAGCAGGTGCGAGGCTTTGGAAGCAATTTTGTATTCAGGATCCCCCAATTTGTTGACAATCTGTACAAGAAGCACTTTCTCCTGCTCCGGCTGATTGCACAGCAGCTCATAGGCGGTGGTAAGTGATCGCATTTTGGTGGCCTGGACCGTATCGCGAGCCAGTTCGTCTAGTGCGGCAGCAAAATCTATTACCTGAAGTTTCAGCAGGTGCTCAAAGTACCATAGGATGAGCCTGCGGTCACGGGAGTCCCTATTTCCACTGGCTTTTTCCTCCAGCTGCTCAAAAGGATGCTGGGAGAAAGTGTGAAGCTTGCGGTGTTTTGGAAGAAGGTCAGTAAGCAGCAGCTCCTTAAGGGTATCCAAGGCCATAAGGCCTTGTCTGCGACTTCCTTTCTTTTTCACCAGAGACACAAGGTTCTCAACGTGCTCGAGACTGTGAATCGGAGCATCCTGAATTAGCACAGTCATAGCTGCCATCCTATCGGTCAAAGTTCCTGTGGACACTACACTCTTCATCCAAGCAGAGTTGGCACCTTTCTGGAAGTTCTTCTTGTTTTTGTAGAGGGCAATTTCATTCTCATAGAGTTTCTGAGCCAAAGCCTTGTACTGAAGGACCAGTGATTCGCTCTGAGCCACAGACGTGCTCTCTGACGTGTACTCTATATCGAACCACTTCCCCCCAAGTTTGATAAGCAGAGTTTGCCGTGGAATAAACTCAAACAAGTTTGTGTGTTTCTGTTTGGCCCTCTTTCCAGTAGGTTTGCCAAGCTCTTTAGATTTAACAGGGGTTTTCGTACCTTCTGTTATGGGTTTAACAGTATTTTTCACATCAGATTGTGAATCGTCTTTCATTTTGGAGCTTTTTGCCTTTTTTTTCTCTTTTTTGGGTGGCTCTGAGGATGTTTCATCCTGTTCATCTCGAATGATTTGTTGCTCTGCATAAGCACGGATGCCCAACTTTGTTATGAAACCTTCCAGCTCTCCCTCCTCCAGATCATCAATTGCACCTTTCTTTCCACCATTGATGAGCTCGGCAGTGTCACCGATGCCGGCCAACATGACATAATCTGCCTGTGACAAGACAACAACATAATTTATCAGACAAAAACGGAACATATCACAACATTACTTTTACTTGTGTGTAATTACCCGTGTTAATTTCGTTTACGAATAATTTGTTAATTTTCGTCAACATTTTTTTCACTGACGAAAACGAGATGATAATGAACTAAAACTTGTTTTGAATGACAAAAACTATGACGAAAATCTATTGACATTCATCACGGATAAAAACGAGATGAAAATGTTAGGGAGGGACGTTTGGGAAGAGATTCAATCAGAACGAATCTGCTGCGTGCTAAGGAGGTTAGATGCGCACATTTGAACGGTATCAACCTATTGACCTATACGGCGGGACATAAGCTAACATACACTTGCTGCACGTCTCATAAAATGTTAAAAAATGTCAAAATCTGGGAGTAAGAGAAGAGCAGACACATATGGATAAATTTGACGATGCAAAAGAGAACTCAATTTCATCCGGTTTTCTGAGCGCACACATAGGGCTGGACGATATGGCCAAAATTAATATCACGATATATTTCTTAATTTCGGTCGATACGATATAATTCCGATATCGATATGAACATTATTACGATTTTCAATGTTTTTTTAAAGAATTCTCTTCTGCTCACCAAGCCTGCATTTATTTGACCCAAAACACAGCAAAAACAGTAACATTTAGATTTTTTTCCTGTTTAAAATAACTATTTTCTATTTTAAAATGTGATTTATTCCTGTGATTTCAAGGCTGAATTTTTAGCATCATTACTCCAGTCACATGATCCTTCAGAAATCATTCTAATATGCTGATTTGCTGCTCAAAAACATTTATTATTATGTTGAAAACAAATGAGGAGATTTTTTTCAGGTTTCTTTGATGAATCGAAAGTTCAGATGAACAGCATTTATCTGAAATAGAAATCTTTTGCAACATTATAATCTTTTTGATCAATTTAAAGCAGTGGTTCTCAATAAAAGTATTATAAATAAAATTGCTGCGGCCCACCGTGCAGGAGATTTTTTTCAGGTTTCTTTGATGAATCGAAAGTTCAGATGAACAGCATTTATCTGAAATAGAAATCTTTTGCAACATTATAATCTTTTTGATCAATTTAAAGCAGTGGTTCTCAACCCGCGGCCCATCACAAATTCAAATGCGGCCCACCGTGCTGAACACAATAAAAAAAAAATACTTTCAGTTTTACAATTTTATTTTCATTTCAGTTTTTACATTAATTAAAAATTTTACTAAATAAATATAAGCTATAGCCTAATGTTTTTATGTAAAATAATTTTGTTTTTCATATATTATTTTCAGACATGAGCAGTACTCACATAGCCTAATTAATGTTACGCATTAAGACCAAGTGGCCAGCGGCAGACAGTGAGCATATGCTTGATCAATTTAGCCTTCTCAAATCATCACGACTTGACTAAAATAAAATCTATAGATATAAAACAGTTCAAGCATATAACAATGTTTAAACGTTAAACCCAGATAAATGTGCGCTGTATCCAATAGTTTGTGTGGAGAGTGGAAGCTGAAGCGCGCTTTGCAGGACTCAGAGACGCCAGCGCGATCACTTGCATTTTTTTTCAGTGGACACCGTCATTTTTGCTCATAAAGATAAGAGTAATACATCATTCGTAACTGTAAAGGGTCTACTTTTATTTGTGTGCACTCACAATATCAACAAAACGTTGTGCTTTTATAAAATAAAGAAAACAAACATGATGTGCTTTCTGCCGTCTCGTCTTGAACAGGAGCGCTTACAAAAATGAACCGAAACTCAGCAAATACATGCCTCACAGACATGATAAATATATCTATAGAAAGCTTTAAATTACTACTTAACGAAATAAAACAAATCAAAAACAAAAACTCTTTCATTATGATCATTATCCGTAAGGATGCACTTCTCTCTAAAGGTGCGTCTAATGAAGAATGAGGAGATAGCGAGTCAGGATCGACAACTTCATCCTTGCGACACCTACTCAGAAAATACTAGTTTATTAGATACAAATCAGTATATTAGAATGATTTCTGAAGATTTCAAATAACTGCTTTCTATTTGAAAGCAGTCTCAAGTCACTGGAGACTGCTACAATGTAATTTGTAGCAGTCAAATTACATTGTAATTTGTTCAAATGCAAAAATTTGTTCAATGCAGAACAAAAAGAGCTACAACAAAAACATGTTGCTGGAGACAGGCTTATTGAAAATGCAAACTGATTGTCTGCCAGCAGGAGGCACTCTGAGAGCAGTAGAACTTGCGGTTTTCCGGTAACGGCTGTAATCAAAGCAGCTTCTGCTCATGAACGCTACTTTATCAGATAAAATTAAAATGCCATCGAAACTTAAAAATCATATCACCGTTATTGACGAAAAATTATATCTCGATACATATTGATATTGAATTACTGTCCAGCCCTTGCAATTTACAATTATACACTTATTTTCACATAGCTATGAGAAGCGTTAAACATGGACACGCGTGCAGTTGCCGTACTGTATTAAAGCTTTAATCAGGATTGCCCCCCCACGCATAAAAGTGAAACTCCGCCTATGATTGTGCTGTTACTCCTTTCGAGCCGAAGTTCACACAATTGGGTGTTATTTATGGGGAGTAGAATTATTTATTTATTTCAATGAATGTAATCGATTAGATATCATAATATTTAGGCTATAATATTATAAATCAGGTTGGTTTGTATTGCTGACGTAATATATAAATGATATGTGTGCGGCCCGCGAGAATTGCACTTGGACCATAGTGCGGCCCGGTGGAAAAAAAGGTTGAGAACCACTGATTTAAAGTATCCTTGCTGAATAAAACTTCTATAACCCCCCCCCCCCTCAATATACAAATCAGTATATTAGAATGATTTCTGAAGATTTCAAATAACTGCTTTCTATTTGAAAGCAGTCTCAAGTCACTGGAGACTGCTACAATGTAATTTGTAGCAGTCAAATTACATTGTAATTTGTTCAAATGCAAAAATTTGTTCAATGCAGAACAAAAAGAGCTACAACAAAAACATGTTGCTGGAGACAGGCTTATTGAAAATGCAAACTGATTGTCTGCCAGCAGGAGGCACTCTGAGAGCAGTAGAACTAGCGGTTTTCCGGTAACGGCTGTAATCAAAGCAGCTTCTGCTCATGAACGCTACTTTATCAGATAAAATTAAAATGCCATCGAAACTTTTCTGAAGACAGTCGGTTCCCTTCAGAGATACATACATATAAAACACCCGCACCTCGCTATGATTTTGAAACGTGCAGTGCTCGTGTTTATTCAACGAAATCAAACGCCACAAATAAATCAATGTATGGGAAACACCGGTAATGTATATAGAAATATCGGAAATGTGTTTAAAAATCATATCACCGTTATTGAAAAAAATTATATTGCTATACATATTGATATTTAATTATTGTCCAGCCCTACGCACACACCGAAGCAGCGCCACGAGTACTCTTTCGTGTCATATGACTGGAGGAATACACAAAATTATGACGAATTGTCCATTTTGACAAGTATCCATGTAAACACAGTCAATTATGTTTTAAGTGAACGTAAACAGTTGGAAGAATATTGGATGCCTAATTTAGTTGCTATTGTCCGAGTTATTGATGTTAATCAAGCAACAAAAGACTGAAAATCACTCACTGCTCTTGACTGAATCCCTTTAGTAGCCCTAATAAATATGAATCTTTATTTATAGAAATAAATAGGTCTGCTTGAAAGAATGAGGAATATGGTAAACAAGTCGCTATAAAGAATGCATAATTAGCCTATATAACCATTGGTATTTCATTAAAAAGAAGACCTTGTTCTTTATGAGAAGTGGTTTTATTTAATTTTAATATAAAGGCATATTGTGTGTCATCACAGTTAAATTCATATCTATCATGATAAAACCTTAATATCAAACATATATAAAGATTTTGGAAATTTTGGAGAAATGCTTAATAAATGAAAAGTTACATTGTAACTAAATCGATTAGATTTTAGCTGACTAAAACAATTCAGATAACTAAAATATGACAAACTAAATCAAAATTTGCTGTTAAAATTAACATTGGTAATGGTTGCAAGGGAAAAAAAATTCAATGCAGATTAAATAGAAACAAGTGTTTGTTTATTTTCTTCTTAACGCCATTCCAGCATCTATGGCTATATAGGTCAAATTAATTTTGAACGCGTCACTAATTTTCTCAGTAAATATATTTCTAAAGGTGCTGTTGACATGAAATTTTCACCAGATGTCGGTAACAAACCAAGTAATCCATACATACAATGAAAACAAAACAAATAAGTTCAGAAATTAAATTATGTGTAATAAAATGGAATGACCCAGGGAAAAAGTATTGAACATGCTTACTGAAATGTATGCATTTAATACTTCGTACAAAAGCCTTTGTTGGTAATGACAGCTTCAAGTCGCCTCCTGTAGGAGAAACTAGTCGCATACATTGCTCAGGTGTGATTTTGGCCCATTCTTCCACACAAACAGTCTTCAAATGGTGAAGGATCTGTAAGCCTCTATGAACTCTGATCTTTAGTTCTTTCCATTGATTTTCTATTGGACTCAAGTCAAGTGATTGGCTGCTCATTCTAGCAGCTTTATTTTCTTTTTCTGAAACCAACTGAGAGTTTCCTTGGCTGTGTTTGGCATTATTGTCTTGCTGATAGAGGTCGACCGATTCATCGGTTTTGCCGATTAATCGGCACCGATAGTTGATTATTTTTAAATTTTGATTAGATAATCATGCAGTGTTCTAAAATAGAAGCAAATAAAGTGTGAGAGTACACATACAATATCAATAACATATGTAATTGTAATGCTATGGCCTTGTGTAGATATTTAAAGATGGCCAACTTTAAGCATGACTGTTGAAATTAAATGGTAATACTTTACAGTAGGGCTGCACGATAAATCGCATGCGATATTTAACGCGCATCTTGTCAGAAAAGCCGGTTCTGTAATCAACGGCTCTGTGTAGTTAATACTGCTCAATGTGAAAGCCCGCAGGTGATGGAGATTTACCG